TGTTCTAATATAGACAATGGGTCGTGTCTCATATTATTTGTTATAGTTTTATTATTCATTATTTTCACTTGACTCGCATAAATAATTTTGTTCGAAGAACATTTATATGCAGTTGTACTTTGCAGCACTTCACTTGCAATTTGCAATTTCTAGTTTAAATATTTAATTTGTTCAGGTGGGCTGTAGTTTGTAAAAACAAACATGTGCCCTTGATTTGCATATTGATTCCTACAAATTTATCTCTGAACTTTATATGCTAATCAGCTATTTTTTCACAAACAAATACAATACACATTTAAGTAAAATAAAGATACCCTAGATGTTTTTAAATTTGTGTTATTTGTAATGTCATTTAGATCATGCTAATTAATAATAAAAAAATGACGTCATTTTGTACATCGGCTGCTTGATGGCGTTATTTGTTTACATCGCCATTTTGTAATGTGACAGACATAGATGACAACTATTTTTCACAGTGGGACTGACCAAAATGGTTTTTTGACGGTACCGTAAATGCTCGAATAAGCGCTGCAGCTTCAGTGCCGTGCTTATAAAAAAAATTGGCGATGCGCTTTCCATGCCCATTCCCATGTTACCTATTTCATGTATTCCCGTAGTCAATCATAGGTCCTATCATTATAAATAAACGTTTATAAGGAAATGCTTGTTTTCATTGTATTATTTGTTCATTTTAGCACTGTGTCATTGTATTTAAAACCCTGTTTCTCAAAGTGTTTCTACACACAGCGTAATATAATTATACTCTCGATTAAGCACCACGTCGCTTATTCGAGAGCGGCGCTTAACGAAAAAATCGTGATTGGTGCGACGCTTATTCAAGAGCGGCGTTTATTCGAGAGTGGCGCATATACCAGCATTTTACAGTACTCAGCTCTCAACTACTGTAGGCCTGGCCTAGACGAACCACATAGGCTGGCTGGGTAGTATGTGTAGTAGATCAGATATTACAGAAAATGTAAGCTATTATTATTATATCTTTTTTTGGATTCAAACTAATGTTTTGTTGTATTTCTGGGGTCTGTCATACTGTAAAGGAATTTGGTATATCCCCAGGGTCACCAAGGTCATGGGGAATGGACTAATCCAGATAGGAAGTGGATCAGCCCAAACTTAGTTTAACCAATTAGACTGGTCCTCCAATGCCCTGTTGTTTTGGGAAAGATATGCGAATTAACTACTTAAGTTGAGTACAGTTAGGGAGAGGGCAAGATTTGATGCTTGAGAATTCGTCTGGGACCGTTGCATTGACTTCCAGTAATAAAGCGGGCTGATCCATAAGATACAGTAAGGGTACCAGTTATCTCTCTGCCCCTGTATTAATCTAAGTACGTGGGAGTAATTACGGGTGAGTGATCGCAATTATACTTGTTTAGTGAATCAGACGTACTGAATAAAGTGTTCGACTCACTGAGAGTGAGAATCTTGAGTTATTATTCAATTTATTTGTTATTTGCTGAAGTCCAGAGCCCACAGCTCTGGCCGAACCCAGGGTCATCCTGACAAGGACCAGGCCCGGAGACGAAATTAAAGCCAACAGCGCCACCACAGAAAGTCGCTAAGTAAGTAACCTGTACGGAATTTAGATCTGGATCGTCTCATCATTTTGAGATCAAGTTTTTTTTATCTTGCTTGATATTTCAAATGGAAAACTTTTCGTACAGGCTGAATTTAGAGAAATTGCCCATCAAACTCAAGGGTGAATTTTCATCCTTTTAATACAGTATAGGCCTAGGCTAGGTAGGCTAGCTTTAGGCTACTGTAGGGGAGGGCTTTCTGTATCCAGCCTACTGTAGGCTTTTAGAGAGCCTGTGTGTGTGTGTTTTATTGTACTATTACTATGGACCTATTATAATATATATTACATTGGCCTCTGTTGTAGATTTTAAAATTGAAAGTATTGTATTTAAATTTGTCTAGTTTAAAATCAGAAAAACAGGAATTTAGTTTGTTACAAATTCAATATATATTCATCTATAAATCTATATATGGGCTGCCATACGCAGCAAAAGTCCATGTTAAAATCAAAATTTAATTGCAAAATTCAATGTCTATTTTATTAAAACGTAGGCGTAAATTTCTCAAAATGTAGATCTAGATTCCCCAAATGAAGTTTTCATAGTTCAAATTTTCCAAAATGTAGTTCTAATTTATTAAAAATGTAATTCAAATTCAAAACGTAGGTTTCACTTGACCAAACGCCCTCTACAAATTCTGTTCCAAAACATAAATCAAAAACCAGCAAAGCTTGTCTTGTTTGAAATACATTTTACAACAACACTAGACATGCGAAACGTACATCAAAACTAATCAGCAAAGCATGACTTGGGCCTGTTCAATGGGGGAATCAATTTTCCCTGCAGTCCAATGCCGTGATCAACGCTTCCCAATGCGTCTGCTAATTTTTAATGGTCAGGGTACCGCGATCACGAGCCCTATGCTAGGCATTATAGGCTAGGCTTATGTGGGCTGGGATTTGCAACAAGGTCTTCAATGTAATTCAAATTTTAAACGTAGGTCTGACTTGATCAAACGCCCTCTCCAAATTCTATTCCAAAAACGTAAATCAAAAACCAGCCTGGTTTGAAATGCATTTTACAACAACACTAGACATGGACTTTTGCTGCGTCTTTGAACCCCATATCAATAAATGTAGGTTCAAAGACAAATACCAATCTGGAATAAGAAAGAAATGTGGTGGGGTCTAATCAAAATCTTATCACAGTTAATGATAAATGTGTCAGTCACTTTCCAATGGATATTTACATTGATGACGATTAGCAACTAATAACCTATTGAGATGTCACGTGGGGTAGACAAGTATTGAGGTATTGTTTGATTGACCAATAATCTCTTCAAAAAACAATTTTAGTAATGCATTCTATTAAAATATAATCATTTTATCCCAGGAAATATTGGATGATGTACTACTTTTTACTCCGGAAATAAGCAAATGGCATACCGTAAATAAATTTCCACGAGAAAAGAGTTTTTTTTGTTCGACCTGGCAACCATAACTAGGCCTACTTCCATTGTACAATATAGACTACTATAGTAGAATCTCTACACTTACAGTATAATGCTGCATACGAACATAACTGCATACTATGACTACAGTAGTTGAAAGTCTGTCCATGTAACAAGACACCCCACGACCACACCAGCTCCCACTGTCACACTCAGAATCTTTATTCTGAATGCTTAATCAACTAATAATACATTGTTCTTCCTTAAAGTCAAGTTAACAGGTTAAAGCATGTTTCTATTATATAAAATAATATTTAAAGAAATTAAAATTATATAGGGTGTAGGCCCTACTGTTTGTAAACTTGCGATATTGTTGATAATTGTGAACGACCCCTTAAACAATGATGAATGTTTGTAATCAGTATTTTTGTAAAACACTTTTTTCTATTGATACAGAGAGTAATTCTAAATATGATGCTCAGATATTATCACTTAAGGAATGGTTTACTCTTCTGCAAGCTGCATGGAAAAATAGGTTCCCAGTAGGAGCTTGTGCCTACTCCTCGCTATAGTTTTTTGTTTTGTTTTTGAGCTAATTTCATCTTTACAATATGGTAGTACTAGTAAAAGAGTTA